GGGGGGGGGGGTTGGTGCCAGGGGTTGGGAAGAATCAGGGTAGGGAGAGACACCCCAGATTCCTCCCAGAAGCTGGGAGCCAGAGCCAGCAGAAGGCACCTGCCTGCAGGCTCAGCCTTCTGACCCCGGGTGCCTCTGAAAGGTCCCTTTGTCTTTAGCTGAACACGGCCTTTCTCCTAGAAATCTGTCTGTCAGCATTGCTGTTATCAGAACCCAGGCTGCAGGAGGCAGGGAGGAGCCACAGGCAACCTGGAGCAGACGAAGTGGAGGGGAGGGAGTCTCTCCACAGCCCGGCCAGCATGGAGGGCCTCGGGACAGAGACCCAAAAACTTGAGGTCACTGAACAGGGCTGGGTCTTGGCAACACGGGAACATTTGACTTCAGCATTCACTGCAGGGGCACCGGGACCATCTCCAGCCCGTGCTCAGGCCTAGCTCCACTTTCCATCAAAGCCACTTCCGCTCCGCCTTTCAAAGCCCCAACTGGCTCCTGCCAGTTGAATGGCTGAAAAAGAAACCCTGTGAGCAATGGCAACTTCTGGATCTGGCACTATTACCAGTGGGTGGCTGGTGGGGAGAATGTCCTGAGCCCTGACACATGGTGGGAGTTTGGGGCTGCAAAGGAAACCAGTCCTCTGTGAACAGAGAGGATGTTCCTGGCCGTGGCCCTGAATGTCTTCCCAAGACTGGCTTTTAACACTGTAACAATAAATACTACTGCACAGCACTTCGTTGATGAGGTAGCCTTTTTCTATGTATCTCCTCATTTATTTTTCCCAGCAGCCTCTTTGAGAGGGAGATTATGAACCCATTTCATAAATGGAGAAACTGAGATCGGAAAGGCTGAGGGGACTGCCCAGCTCCATAAAGCTAAGAAGTCATGGGGCAGGGACTCGAGCTCAGTCCATCTGCCTCCAAATCCCAGGCTCATCCTCTCCACTGCACATTCTCCCCACCAACTTCTGCAACATCAGCGACCTCCCCCTCCCCCCACCTTCCAGCATAGGACTCCCCTTACCAGGCGGCATCACTCACAACGCAGTTTGTGTGCACTCTGTCCTGCTGGAAGAGTCTCTGTCAGGGCACTGCCCCCTGTCCCAGTAACCTACAGTCGGGAAGAGCATCTGACAAGTCTCTTCTTCCTTAGTGGCATCACTTGCTGCACTCTGACTTTTCCCAGGGGTGTTTACATCTTCAGATTGCCGATAGAATAACAGGCTTCCTAGCACTGAGCTTCTCGGGTTTTAATGTGCACATGAATTGGTAAGTGACATATTTTTAGAAAAAAGATACTGAT